GTCATATAATTCCGATGAAAATAGATCTAATAAAATATTATTACAAACGGCTTCTGCATTGATCCGAAATAATGATAAATCTGAAAATGTCAGAATTCTTTTTGATAATGGCTCAATGAGATCTTTCATAACTAAAGATGTATCTACTAAAATGGAACTTCCGATTGTTAGAAAAGAATCACTTTCTGTTTATTCCTTTGGTGATAAAAGTGCGTTAGAAAAAACCTTTAATGTTGTTAGAGCAAAACTAGAAAATGTAAACGATCCTAATCTTAATATATATATTGAGCTTCTTGAAACCGAAAATATATCCAATACTGTTATCTCTCCTCCAGATTTGAACTTTGCTAAGAAAAATAAAATTTTACAAAATCTACAATTAGCAGATTGTTGTAGAAAAAGTGACAAAATTGATATTCTCATAGGGGTAGATTTCTACTATTCTATAATTACTGGTAAAATTAAAAGAATTTCAAGAAATGTAGTAGCCACAGAATCTTTATTTGGGTGGTGTTTGCAGGGTAAAGTAAATAATGATCATAGTGAATTATTAACTATGAAAGTAATTGTAAATGAAAACTTGATATCAGATCAGTTACAACAGTTTTGGAAGCTAGAAAACTTGGGTTTGGAAAGTGATACTCAAAACGACAAAACTGTTGATTTAGAAATTATGAAATCTTTCGAATCTGATATCAGGTATAAGAACTGAACTGCAGATACCAAGTAAAATTACCTTGGAAACCGAATTCAAAACATTTAATGGAAGATAATAGGGATATAGCACTTGAAAGATTTAAGAAATTGAGTAACAAATTTAAAATTGATAACTCTTTGTTTGTTCAATACACAGAGGTTTTAAAGGATTACGAGTTAAAACATATTATTGAACCAGTTCAAGAAGACAATCAAAATGATAAAACCCTATTTTATTTACCTCATAGAGCAGTCATCAGAAATGATAGAGCAACAAGCAAACTAAGAATAGTTTATGATGCTTCAGCCCATAAACCAAAAACACTCTCTCTAAATGACTGTTTATATACTGGTCCGAACCTATATCCTGATATTTTTGATTTATTGATAAAATTTAGACAAAATTCGATAGCCTTTACAGCGGACATTACACAAGCATTCTTACAGATAGAGTTAAATGAAGAAGACAGGGACGTTACACGATTCTTTTGGAAAGATGATCCTAATGATAACAATGAGAGTTTGAAAATCTTTAGATTTACAAGAGTTTTGTTTGGAGTAAAATCTAGTCCCTTTCTCCTAGCTGCTACTATTAAGCATCACCTTAAAAAATATTCAGAAATATATCCTGAAACAGTAGAACTCTTAAAACAACTGCCTGTATGTTGATGACATTATTGGTGGTCAACAAAATTTAGAACAAGCCCTGAAAACAAGTTTAGAAATTGTGAACATTTTTAATGAAGCTAGCATGTCACTACATAAGTGGCATACTAATTCCAAAGAACTCAAAGATATTTGGCATCGCAAAGAATTTTCGATGCAAGAATCTCCTGAAGTTGTCCCGATCAAAGTGTTAGGAATTAACTGGGATACGGATAATGATAATTTTTATTTTGACACTCAGCACTTGACAAATTTCATTTCCTCGTCAATCAACTCAAAACGTTTTCTATTGCAAACCGCAGGCCGTATTTTTTGATCCTGTCGGATTTTATGGCCCTTTCACTATAAGAATAAAGTGTCTGATTCAGGAAATCTGGTCTGCCAAAATTGATTGGGACGATGAACTGCCACCTGATCTTAGTTATAAATGGAAAGCCTGGTACGAAGAAATTGAAGAACTGAACCACCTCAGAATTCCCCGCTACTATTTAGAAGGAATATTAGATGCAGATGTGAAACAAATAGAACTCCATAGCTTTTCTGATGCTAGTTTGAAAGCTTATGGATGCGTGGTATATCTGAGAATAGTTTTGAACAATGGAACTTTTCAAACAGTTTTTGTTGCTTCCAAGAGTAGAGTTGCACCTCTGAAATCCCTTACACTTCCTAGATTGGAGCTTTTGGGTGCGCTTTTATCCGCTAGATTGAGTGATAAAATAGCAAAATCTTTAAAATACGAAGTAATCCCCTTCCACTGGACTGATTCTCAAATAACGTATTTTTGGATTCAGGGATCTCCCGAAAGATTTAAATCTTTCATCAAAAACAGAGTTTATGAAATTCAGAAACTAACTGAAAGCAATAATTGGCATTATTGCCGTGGGAAAGATAACCCCTCCGACCTCATATCACGAGGAACTACTGTTGCTAATTTAAGAAATTGTTCACTTTGGTGGTTTGGACCAGAATGGTTACAAAACAAACGTATAGACTGGCCAGTTCAACCGAAGTTTGACGTGGGAAACGATAAGCAACTAGAACTCCGTAGTAAGATATCTGTTTATGACGTTGTTGTGAAAAGAGATGATCAACTATTGGATATAACAAAATTCAGTAATGTGCTGAAATATCTCAGAATTATGGCATGGGTTAGACGTTTCGTTGCTAAGGCAAGAAAACTGCCTGCTAATAGTGGAACATTAAGTGCTTCTGAAATTCAGGACACTGAAATTTTTTGTGTTCGTAAAGCCCAGATGGATTTCTTCACACCTGAAATTAAGGCTCTTCAATCTAACAAGTCAATTTCTCCAAGCTCTGATATATTCAGCTTGGCACCGTTTCTTGATGAAAATAAAATTCTTCGAATTAAGGGAAGATTAGAAGAAACCGAATATACAGTTGACGAGAAGCATCCAGTTCTTCTTCCTAAAGATTCCAAATTTACTGAATTAATTGTAAAAAGGGAACATAATAACGTTCTGCATGCGGGAGTTGCAGCAACTTTAGCCAAACTAAGACAGAAATTTTGGATTCCTAAAGGCCGTCAGTTGGTAAAGAAAGTCTTAGGGAACTGTTTAATTTGTCGGAAATACGCAGTAAAACCAGCGAAACAAATGACAGCTCAGTTACCTAAAGATCGAATTGTTGAAACTCCACCTTTCTATGTTACAGGCGTGGATTTCACAGGTCCAGTTTACATCAGGTCTGGAAACGACATTCAGAAATCATACATCGTATTGTTTACGTGCGCTGTTACACGAGCGTTACATCTAGAACTCATTTCCAATATGTCTGCAAACAAATTCATTTTGGCTCTCAGACGTTTCATTTCGAGAAGAGGAAACTGTCGCACCTTTTATTCAGATAACGCGAAAACTTTCAAATATGCTGCCAAAGATTTACAGTATTTTTACAGCATAATTAAAGGTACAGACTTTCAAAATTTTCTAGCAAATGAAGGCTTGACTTGGAAATTTATCGTCGAGCTTGCTCCATGGTGGGGAGCTTTTTATGAACGCCTTATGAAAACCATAAAGGAACCGTTGAAAAAGATATTAGGCAGAGCTCAACTGAATTTTGAAGAATTTATGACTGTGTTGACAGAGGTCGAAAATATTGTGAATAGACGTCCTTTGACCTACGTTTACAACGATTTACATGAACCTGAACCGCTTGCACCAGCTGATTTTCTATTAATCGGACATAAGGATGAATATCCATACAACTTTGTTGAGATCCTGAATAACTCTTCACAAGAAAGAGTCTAATAAAACGAAAAGAATATCAGACAACGCTTATAAAACAGTTCTGGAAAAAATGGAAAAATCAGTATCTTCTTGAGTTGAGAAATGCTCACTTCTTCGGTACACCAGAAGCCAAGAAAAATCTTAAAATTGGTGATATAGTTTTACTTGAAGGAACAACTAAATCTAAGTTCCTCTGGGATTTAGGTCAAGTAATTCAAGTCTTCAAAGGACGTGATGGTCTTGTACGATCATGTGTGGTACAAACTAAAAAAGGGGACCTTAAGAGACCTGTGCAATTGATATACCCCCTTGAACTATCAGACTGAAAATGAACTAATTTTGTAACCTTTTAATTTTACTTCTTGTATTTCATATTCACTAACATTAATTTTAGATAATTAGTTTTAATTTAGTTATTACTAATAATTTACTGTTTGTAATTTGAATTAATATTTACGTATTGAGTAACATTTGAGTTGATGCAGTTAACTATATTTGTTTATTTTATAGAATTTCCTTTTGCAGTTTATATTTACATCAGTTGAATGTATTTGATATGTAAGTTGCTTTCTTATATTTTATTATTTGTATGCTGAAATAGTGATAATTTTTGCAAAAATTATCAGGTGGGGAGTGTGGAAAAATCCCTCAAATGATTTATGTATCGCCGTTAGAGGGCGCTTCGCTTCTGAAAAAGAATGTTAGTTTTTAGTTTGCGACGCAGTTAGTTAGCAGTGAACCTTCGATGCAATCGAAGTTGCTTTGTAAATAAAATGATTATTTTTGTAGATTGTTGAAGGATTTCACTTCATTTAGAATTAGAACCACCTTTCGCATTAACATGTGCAGGTAACCATTAAAGAATGCAGACCTTATCTAAGCTCATTATCAACCTTATCTTAAGCTCATTTAGGCAAAAATGGATCCTGTTGGTGATCAGGAAGCCGCCATACAGGATTGCCTGTACAGCTGCCTTTGAGTCAGAGAAGACGAGTCCTTTTGCTTGCTCAGAAATAGAAAGGGACTACATGTCAAGTGCCTCCTATTGCCAGAAGCTCACAGGTGAAGTTAGAGACTATGGCTCCAGCATAAAAACATTTACTTGTATAAAAAGGGTGGCCAAGTGGAAAAGTTTGACAAGTCTTAATCTATGGGTCATGGTCCCGTTTGAAAGGTTCAATTTATTAAAATATGCAAATTCAAACAAGAATATAATAGATGTGTCTTTAAAAAGTGGCAAAATATAAAAAATTGGCAAATAATAAAATTGTCTACTAAGACAAAAACCTTACATTATAAAATTAAAAGGATCACAGAAATAAATTAATAAAAACGATATGTCAATCAACATTTAAACACATATTTACATCAAAGATATAATTTTTTTGGTACCTGAATGAGCATGTAGAACAGGAAGATTTCTGCTTTTACTACCAGAATCATTTAATGTTAAAATACCCAGATTTCCACCACCTAATATTTAAATAAATATTAAAAAAACATAAATTTTTAATATATTAAAATTAGAAATTAATGCAGCAAAAACAGACTGTGATAACAAATATTAAAAAAAGTCACATTCAACTGCCTTAAAGTAATAATAAAAGTGGGTAAAAGCATATTTTAGGGTACCCCTTGGCGAAACTTGGCGGTTCATGGATACAGAGTTTGTGCAATTCTTTGACTTGTTACTTTGGCCTGCGTAGCGGCAATTTTTGGTGCACAAATTGCCACTATGCAAGCCAAAATAACAAGTCAAAGAATTGCAAACTCGGTATCAATGTACACATCGACCTATTTTCACTTTAAAAAAATCCCTGAATTGCACGAAAATGGCATTGTGCACTCCCTTTATCCATGTACACATCGACCTATTTTCACTTAAAAAAACATCAGAGAATTGCAGAAACTATGCTTTACGCACTTCTTTGAGTGTGTCCATGTACACATCGATACATTTTCACTTAAAAAAAGTCAAAGGTGCACCCAATTCTACAGTAGAGACAAACAAAAAATACATAATCTCAATAAACTACATTTTAAACCAAACTATAAAAAAACACAAAATTGGAAAAACCTGTTATGTATTTTAGCACTACACAAAGCAAATATCCCCTTTTTAGAAATTTGTTCATTTTCAGTCTGTGGCACACAAAATTCCTTAACAGCATCCAAAACCTTCTTGAAATTATCTGAACTACAATCTGTGGTTAATCTTTGGATTATGGTAACTTGGCGATTTTTTGGCGAAAATTTGGCGACCAACCCTGCTACAGCAACCTGCTAGTTTTTGTTTGAACGCCATTTTGTTTTTACGAAGTAAAGGTATGTTTCTTTTTTTTTACTCAAAATTTTTTTCCAACAATCTGCTAGCTGAATTACGCTTATGCTAGAACTTTTATGAAACAAAAGTGCTTAATCATGACGAAGATTAGGTGCGAAATTGGGACAAAGTTCAGAATCGCCCACTGCTTAACACGTTTTTAAGAATTGCACACACACAGTATCATCCATGTACATGTCGACCTATTTTCACTTAAAAAAACATCCCAGAATTGCACAAAAATGGCATTGCGCACACTCTTGACTTTATCCATGTACACTGCTAAAGTCCTAGCTAGTAACCTTTATCGCCTTACCAAAATGTCACCAAACTACCCGTTACCATATTCCAAAGATTAGCCTAATCTGTATATCGGCATCGCCACAGAAATTCACAAAAATAAGAGTAAATAATATACTACGTAGTCCCGGATTATGGTTACTAAGTAAACCTTCATTTAGCACCAGTCATATAATGCACTTTTCCCCTTTCATTCAAAATAGTACAGAAACTTCAAATTAATTCTACTACATTCAGCCATTGTACCATCTAAACAGTCTAAACAGTGAAACAAGCAATGTACTTCCTAAGCAACACACACCACAAAAGCCTTTGCAAAACATCCCATGATTCAAACTTTCCCAGAATAATGCAAACGATTATGTCATAATAGTGTTTGCATAACATTCAACTACTCAGGTCACCATAAATGATGCAACAACAACTTGGCGATAATACAACGGGTACCTTAAAGTCAACTCTAACCTAAAAGTGTAGCTGAGCAATTTTTTTTAGCAAATGCACAAAATGAATATAAATTATGTATACTTTTAGTCAAAAATGAAAGTATTTCTGAAAAAAGGAACAAGGCAAACCACTAGTAGTATACTTTTACAGCTGTTAACAAAATTAACATAAACAGCAAAACATTATTTTAATATACCTCCAGTTTTGCACTTCAATTTATTTCTGGAGCAGCAAAATATTAAAAGTCTACAGGATGTAACAGTATCAATTGTCACAACATTATTGACAGAACATAATAAAATTAATCATTCTTGTAATATAATGTGTAGAGAGAGGAATGTGAAAGCAGTATGTACAATAAACAATGAAAATTAAAATCTTTTTAATCTGAAATATTTACAATAAATTATGTTTGATATTTACAAGAACCACTCAAATGAATGACTGCCAACTGCAATACATGTATCACAATGATAATTAAATGATTGGCATACATTTTGGAAGATGACTGACATATTCCTGCAGCAGCAATGTTAATTCTAGGATGAACATCTTAAAGAAAGTCAATCTGCATCTTGTAAACAAGACTCCCATTACTGATATGCATATCTTGCAATTGTTAGTGATTTATTTGAAAAACCTTTAAGCATCAAATATTATTTTTTATTCATAGTCATATCTGAAACAACTTTTTGTTTACCACGATCTTCACACTTAAATGTATTTCCACATTCACATTCCATTATATAATGCATTAAAAAAACTTACTTTTACTATGTTCTATTATCTTTAAAAGTTGTGGGCATCAATTCTGTTATGCCTTGTATAAGTCAATTAGTTTTAACAGAAAGACAATTTAGAAAAAAAATCAGCTTTTGCACAAAAGACTGAAAGATTACAATTTAAATTATACTTTAATTATTTAACAGAGAAACAGAAAATTTGTAATAAACATACAAATGAACTTTGAATTGCACAAGGATTATGGATCCCTCACAACTGTGAATCTGCATACGATTGTGATCTCTCCGAAAACCTAATTATTAATAGCATACTAGTGATAAAAAACTTGCTGAATAAAAATAAATGAGATTAATCTATATTTTATATACTACTATATTTTGCAATCTTAAACAAAGCAAGAGAAAACCATCTTCACGACAAAAATCATATGCAAAATAAACTACACCAATACTCATTCATATAATAAATTTAAACAGTCAAAAGTCTTTAATCCTGATTCGTTGGGACTTCGGCGATTCCGGATTATCGGTTTTTCCGGATTATAGATCATCAATTTAAATCTGGTAAGATGGCATGCAGAAATTATAAAATAAAAAATATGAAACCATAATTTATGAAATAAAAATCAATTATGATCTAAAGGGTATCAAAATTTATAAAAAAAAAGCTTAATATTTATTTTTTTACTTTATTAAACATTTCTTTCAACGTGCGCATGCGTAAAGCATACATTACGCATAGTCGAAATTAGAAAATTGCAACCAGAAAACTATTTGATGTGTATTCATGATATTTATAATGACGAGGAATTTGATTTAAATCATATCAAAGACGGATTACATCGAGATGAAATACTACATTTAGTATTATAAGTTGAAAATAAAAACATCTGCCCTGAAGATAAGGATAGTGCTGACAGATCAACTTCCAGTTCATTGCACGCCGCGATGTAACTTGGCGATTTTTTGGCGAAAATTTGGCAACCAACTCTCCTACAGCAACCCTCTATTTTTTTTTCCCCGCCGCCATTTTGTCTTCACAAAGTAAAGACATGTTTCTTTTCTTTTTATTTACTGAACACTTTTTCCAACAATCTACTAGCCAAATTACACTTATACTAGAAATTTTATCTAACAAAACTGCTTAATCATGACAAATATTCACTGCAAAATTGAGAAAAAGTGCCCAATCGCAAACTCCTTGCGCGTTTTTCACAATAACACATACACATAAACCATGTACACATCGACTTATTTTTACTTAAAAAAACATCCCAGAATTGCACAAAAATGGCATTGCGTACACTCTTCACTATATCCATGTACACTGCTCTTTTCTCATAAATTAGAAAATTTTCACGAAAATGCATGACAATTTTCTGAATCTTTAAACCCGGTAAAAAGAACATATATGAAATTACCTGATCACGAAAAAGTATATACCCTTTCCAAATATGAACATTTCCACGTATAAAAAAATAAAATATCTAAAAACTTTTACCTCTAAATTATCTATTATATTATAAACGTCACCAACGAATTCATACCGCAACATTACAAAATACTTATTGTCAAATATTTAAATTATTTCCATGCACATTTACTTCAGCTAAAACGTATACCAAATTCCTACAAACATAAAATTCACAAAATAACTATCATTTAATTAAAATATCACTAAAACCATGTACACGTAGACTTATTTTTACTTAAAAAAAACATCCCAGAATTGCACAAAAATGGCATTGGCGCACACTCTTCACTATATCCATGTACACTGCTTTTTTCTCATAAATTAGAAAAATTTCACGAAAATGCATAAAAATACTCAACGTATACTAATCAAACATATTCCAAAATACTACAAACATATAACTCACAAAATCACGATCATTAAATTAAAGTATAATTAAATTAAAAAACACTACTTAAAACAATGCATAAAAATAATATCCTCAAATGATTAAAAATACTAACTTACCTAATCTTCTTCAGAATCTTCATTACGTTGCTGCAGTACTACTGCTAATTTCTAAATCCTAAATCCAGTAGTCAACTGGAAGTCTATTCACCAAGTAATAAGAAATTAATAAAATTTCACCTATACTCAAACTACTTTCAGCAAACCACGTACCCTTCCTTACACTTCTTTTCACAAAAGTTTCATTTTCACCATATTTCTTGCACTGCCATTTAAACTTGTAAATACCTTCCTTTCACACAATCTCAACTTATTATTATTATCAGATAAACACATTAAAAATTTAGAATTCACTTTACATAGCCCCATGCAATCCGAAAATTAATCAACACTATTTCACACAACACACAATGAAGCTTTTCCAAATTAACCCCCTTTTCCGATTAAAGAACTGTAATTCATCCATTAATGTCACATTTCACACAACACAGAATATAGCTAAATACGAAATTTCCAGATTTTTTCCAGATTTCCCCAATCTTCCGATTAAACAACTGTAATTCGTCCATTAATGTCACATGACATATCTCATGATCTCTCATTTCCCTCACACAAAATAATGCGTAATCGGAACTGAGTGCTTTTCACATTATTACCAAAGTAGTAGGTACAGTCAAAAGTCATTAATTCGGACACCCATAATCTGGAATGATCTATAATCCGGACCTCAAAGCTAAAAACTTTCTGCGCATGCGCCGCGTTGACACATGAGCATAGGCGTTTACGCTTGCGCGTAAGACCTTTTACCACTGCGCATACGCGTTTGCGCAAGCGCAGAATACGTTTTCGCGTGCGCGTTTTATGTATAACGGACGGTATAATCTAAAATTATCTAATTATCTATTTCAGTTAATGTTGATGATTGCGTTGTTCCTTAATCTTCAATTGGATCCGGTTATTATTTTTTTGCAGACTGTAAGAGCAATTTTATAAAAGTAAACTTGAACTTTCGATTATGTCAAATAGAATTTCCGTTTCTGGAGCTCCCAAAGGATCGTACAAAACGAAAGTATGTTTCGATGTCCATCAAACAAAAAGTGGAATTGCTGCAAAAAATGGATATAAGACATGAAGAATGTGACAGAGAGGTTAGTGAAAACGAAAAAATTTGATTGAAAAGTTAGTCGGTATTCTCGCGGCACAACATTAACAGGACTTGAACAGCGGAACTTTGTAACTGAACAAGAAATTGTGTCTGTTTATAGAATTAAAGAGAAAGTATTATCACATAAAACGAAGTAACTTAAAACAACGTACATTGAAAGGAATGTTTAATAAAGTAAACAAATAAATATTAAGCTTTTCTTTGTAAATTTTGATACCCTTTAGATTATAATTGTTCTTTATTTCATAAATTAAGGTTTCATATTTTTAATTTTAGAATTTCTGCATGCCATCTTACGAGATTTAAACTGATGATCTATAATCCGGAAAAATCGATAATCCGGAATCGCCGAAGTCCCGACGAGTTCGGATTAACGACTTTTGACTGTAGTAACCTTTATCGCCTCCAAAATGTCGCCAAACTACCAGTTACCATATTCCAAAGATCAGCCCATAATTGTTCTTTATTTCATAAATTACGGTTTCATATTTTTAATTTTAGAATTTCTGCATGCCATCTTACCAGATTTAAACTGATGATCGATAATCCGGAAAAATCGATAATTCGGAATCGCCGAAGTCCCGACGAGTCCGGATTAACGACTTTTGACTGTATTGTAAAAACTTGAATTTTTAGTGATGTAATTTTTAAGTGTTTTTAATAGTTTGGTGATATCAATTTTGAATTTAATATTTTGTTTTTTGGCAAGCGGCCTGATGTAAATGGATTTACTTCCGAATAAAGCTATAAGAAACAACTTTACACATGAGTAAAAAAAAAACCATGCATATAGTTTCTCTGTTTGTCGAGGATCAGACCTAAGTTAACTATCAGTATAGGATGGTCTTAACCATTCAGCCACTATTGTAATAAAAAGACAAATGTAATCTTTGACTAGTCTGTATACTAACATAACTCCCCATAATAATAATAATAACATTTTTATGTCTTAGAATTATTACACTCATATTCACAACAGCTATAGCATTAAAAGAGTACATATCAAGCAATTATTTTTTTTCTCTGTTTTTGGGAGTAATTCCAGCATATTCAGAAAGAACATTTCAGATGGGATTTTAGTTTGCAGTATTTTAATAATCATAAAAAATAGCTAACAACTGTATTATATCATGTTTTATTGAAATTTTCAATTTACAGTCAAAAGTCGTTAATTTGCACACCCATAATCCGGACCTCAAAGCTAAAAACTTTCTGCACATGCGCCACGTTGACACATGCGCATAGGCGTTTACGCGTGCGCATAAGACCTTTACGACTGCGCATGTGCGTGTGCGAAAGCGCAGAATACGTTTTCGCGTGCGTGTTTTATGTATAACGGACGGTATAAGCTAAAATTATCTAATTATCCATTTCAGTTAATGTTTATGATTGCGTTTTTCCTTAATCTTTGAATTGGATCTGGCTTATTATTTTTTGCAGACTGTAAGAGCAATTTTATAAAAGTAAACTTGAACTTTCGATTATGTCAAATAGAATTTCTGATGCTGGAGCTCCCAAAGGATCTACAAAACGAAAGTATGTTTCAATGTCCATCAAACAAAAAGTGGAATTGCTGCAAAAAATGGATAAAGACATGAAGAAGCTGACAGAGAGGTTAGTGAAAATGAAAAAATTTCGATTGACAAGTTAGTCGGTATTCTCGACACAGCAATTATAGGACTAGAACAGCGGAACTTTGTAACTGAACAAGAAATGATATCTGTTTATAGAATTAAAGAGAAAGTATTATTACATAAAACGAAGTAACTTAAACAACTTACATTAAAAGAAATGTTTAATAAAGTAAACAAATAAATATTAAGCTTTTTTTTTTTTGTAAATTTTGATACCCTTTAGATCATAATTGTTCTTTATTTCATAAATTATGGCTTCATATTTTTAATTTTAGAATTTCTGCATGCCATCTTACGAGATTTAAACAGATGGTCTATAATCCGGAATAATCAATAATCCGGAATCGCCAAAGTCCCGATGAGTCCGGATTAACGACTTTTGACTGTACTAGACTAGCAAACTGTTAACCCAGCAAAGAATAGCATCATATGATGTTTTAAGCAGATATTCATTTAGATAGATACATCTGAGCTCACCTCAATATAAGAAGCAGGAAATAACTGCAAAATCAAATTGCTATATTAATAAATAGTACATAATTTATTTATGCATGCATGATTTACTTTTACATTTGCTTAAATTTCTCTTAATGCCTAGAGCATCACATGAAGTCTGTCAGCGTTAGTGTTATATGCTAACATATTACCAAATTTAATACTTTATAACAGATGCTTGTTCATTCCAAATGATAAAAACATATTAGAATTCACACATATTTTACAGTTTCAGGGCACATTTTAAATCTTTCATGTTATTTTTAACCTATCAGTTTTGTCTGCTAGTTTCTTCACAATTATAAATCTAATTTTTAAAAAAGACATATTTAGAACAGGGAAAAAAGAATTTCATTTATAAGCAAACACCATGAAGTTAAGTATCTGTAATTTAAAGGTGAATTTTATACACTTCTGCACATACTACAAACTGTTTAGATGATCAATATGGAAAACATGTAGAAAATTTTCATACACTCAGAAATATGTCTGGTAATGGTTCACTGCATGCTATACACTGCTTTCCTCAGAGAGATAGCACATGATAGATGGTATTTAATATCAATGAAACTTTTCTCCTTAATTTTTCATCTTTTGCATTATCATTATTTATCAGATTTCATGTTCTTCTTTATATTCTGATGAGTATTTTATTGACCTATACACGTCTTTAGAAACACAAAAAGCTCTTGTATGTTTAAGTTACATGACTGGCAGGGCCAGAACTAGGCACTTTGCCACAAAGTGCAAATCTCTGCAGATCTTGCTGCCCAATGCCTACTAGATTCTAACTTTTCCCACTTCTAAATTCTGCCACCCGGTGATTTCCCTAAATTCAAAAAAATTTTGTCATCCCATCTGCTGCTTGCTTAAATTCTAAAGATTTTGTCGTACATTTGGAATTACTTTATAATGTTTATAGACTTGGCTTGATTTACTAAGAACATTTAAAAGCAAAGTTATCTTTAGAAAATATCTTACCCAAACTATTCCTAAATTGAAATTAAATGTCAAATTAGTAGTTTAAATGCTACTTCACTACATCTACTAAAAACTTTGTTTATATATTATAAGAAATAATACTTCCTAATGTAATGCATTTAAAGTGATTCAGTTTTAAACTTTCATGATGATACTAATAAAACTGATCATCGAGAAAGTGAACAGTCAGGAATGTAAAGAAATACTTTATCATAAATTTTACAAATTCTTATTTTACACTTATTTGAAATCACTTTTGTTTAATAAAATTATCAGAAATGCTGTTGTAAAGGATTTTAATTCACATTTTCGCCATAATAACATTCATTTATTAAGCATCAGAAAAAATAGTCTCAAGCAGATAATATGCTATGAAATGTTATTCAAAAAATCTAATTTGCAGTAAAGCATTCAATGAACAAAATTCCTCTATTTAATTAAATTTGAAAGTAACATAAACACCTTGAGCAGAAACTAATGATCAAAATTGCACATTAAATCTTGCTTTCATTAAAAAAAATTACAGACGTTTTCAATGCAAGTAAAAACCAAAATTCCAATTTTACCTCCTGAATCAATGTTAAAAGCAATGTATGCAGCACTGGCTTTAATATGATTTCCAAACGAAGGAAGAGAGCCCACGGAAATGTCTGTAATCCATCCCTAGAAAGGTTCATTAAAAGTGAGAAAATTTTAAAGTATGATTACTGATTATATTTAAGTATGACTTCGTACACACTATACTTTTCACATAAATAAGACTTAAATGAGATGAACAAATGATTCATACTTTAAACAGTATAAAAAATCGACATAGTAATGGTATATAGCCATACTTCTCTTTTTTTAGGAATTTTTGGTACTGCGTTCTTATATTTTGATGGCTTGAATCTCCACATGCTCAGTTAATGTGTTTCAAAATATCTAATAAGAATAAATTATATTAACTTTTAACTTATTTTTATAAGGGAATGCCTACAGCTAATGATAATCTATTCAGAAAATATTGTAGTGCATTACATTTTTTACAACAATATTGATTATATTAGCGTTACAAACAAACAAGCACTAAAAAAGAATGTAAACAAAATTTAAAGCAAACATATCAGCAGTATAAATAAAAGTTAACAGAAAATCAGGAATAGAGAACAGCTCTAAATATACAGTATCGAAAAAATAAATTCCTTCTTGCCTATAAATAAAAAGGCCGAATTATTAACAATTAAATGGGAAAAGTTACTTAAATTTCCGGATGGATTTTTGGTTGACAGCTAAAACGGATGAAAAGGAAACCTAAGTCCACCCCTTTTTCCTGACGTCACGTTACCGGAAAGAGACAGTCACATGCGACTTGAGCGGTAGATGTCAAAAGCACTTTCGCTATCCTTCTATTAAAAATGAATATGCTATTTTTAGTTGTTAGGAATTATACAGATGTTTTAAGAATTAAACATTAGGGCAGAGAATATTAAAAACTTTCCAAAATTTGAACATACAGTTCTTTTGTAATAATTTCAACAGTTAATAATTTAATTTACCAACCAGGTGCGAGGCAGTTTGGAACATGATAAAAGTTTCGAATTATGAGAAATATAACTGAATGTGACAGACAGTTTGGATTAGAAGCCAATTATGCTCGCTACTTCACTGGCTGCATCTGCATTATTTTGCCAAGATACTTTAAATTTAATTATAAAATTAATATTCAACTTATTAAAAAGCTTTTATTTCATTTTTAATTTGTTGCTCATAACATTTTAATTGTTGCTTCTTTTTGAATGTATGGAATAAATTAACTTAACAAAAATAACAAATTAAATTAACTTAACAAAAGTCGATGACATATAATTATTTTATCGGTATTCAATTACAAAAAAGTTTTTAAGTTTAGGTCCGAAACTTGTCAGAAATATTAATTCGTCCTTTCGAGTCATATACTGCTGTTGCACAACCCGCTGGTACGGATAGAGCAATGCAAACACCACACCACTACCTTATGAGAAGTTGACATTTGAAACCTGTTAGTGAAAGTTGTGATAGAGAGATGTCTACATGAAGTAAATATGTAAATGCCGGTTGAACCTAAAATTTTCGGTTTATTACTGTTCTGTTAAGGTATCATTTTGTGACCTTATGAATATTCTGAATGCTAAAAAATGGGAACGATGCAAGAATCCTTATTTGCAAAGTACATGCGCATTGTAGCTGTTGTTTCCAGCTACTGGTAAATATTTTAAAAGTTTTACTAAGAATGAAAGAATAAATTTTTTGCTTTCCTCACCTCCGTTTGCTAAACATTGAAGAATTATAACATTCTTTTCAATTCAGAAGTGCTTGTTTTAATGAATAAGCCATTTACATAAAATTAACATGCAATCGGCGAATACCATAATGAAATGACTATCTGAACTTTTTTTAATTGCTTAAATTCTTATGCCGGATCACTCTTTAATGTTAATTTGCGTGGCCGTTCTTTCTATTAGTACTTATTTTTTAAGTCATTAAAATTTGAATTAGTTGTATTTTTCATATAAAATATCGAAAAATCGCATATATATTCAGCATTAATAGGTAAATATACTTTCGTTGAATTTGAAATCCTTCTTTTATGATATAAAACTCATTATTCAGCCGATCTGTTAAAGTAACATATTTTTCTACATTATAAATGTACATACAGCAGCTCACATTAGTGTTTGGACACTTGTATTTTTTATGTAAGTCAGATCTTTCATTAAATATTAAAACATAGATGTCAATTTTTTTTTACTATATTATTTTCTCTTTATTTTAAGCCTTGCTTTTTATAAAATAAATATCATCAGAATATTCTGTGTAATAAAATAATTTGCTCAAGGTGTAATAATCAGTAACTTGCATGATAATTTGGACACTAAAAATTTTTGTTAAAATGCTGCGGTAGATAATGTTTTTTTTTATAATTTTTTAAAATGAAATGCATCACAAGAATTATCATCTCTATTTGGAAATTATTAGTTATTAAGCAAAATTTATTAACAGTTATAACCAGAGGGCCATGTAAACTTTACATTTAACCAAGCAAATAAAAAGAATTATAATATAAGAAAACACTACATGAAGTTACATGTCAAAAGTAATAAAAGGTAACATAAAGCAATTACTCTGGATAAGAGGAAATTATGTCCATGCAAAATCTGTCGAATCTCTTTAACTAACGGTTCAGATGTTAGATGTTTCAATTTTTGTTGACTGTTGCCATTTAGCGTTAGGTTATAGACTACCCCTCGGGCTCTGATGACGTCTCGACAAAGAGTCCGCAAGATATTTCACATTCATCTCTATGAAAAGCAAACCGGGAATCTTTTGATGACGAGTTTGAAATGATTGATTTAATTGCACAGAATCAGGATGATTCTCCAAAACATCAATGAATTGGGATGAATCGTCTAAAATTGGACGGAATTAGGATAATTCTCCAAACCATTAATGAATCGGGATGATTCATTTAACATGGAATCGGGATGATTCTCTAAAACTTTTGTGAATCAGGATGATTCGTTTAACACAGAATCAGGGTTATTCCACTAAAACTTCACTGAGTCGTTATGATTCATTTAATAAGGAATCGGGATGGTTCATTTAACATAGAATCAGTATGATTCTTGAAGTTCTTGAGTTCATTATATGGGGTTGGATCTCCACCTGGTTTGAAGCGATTCTCGAATTCTAAAAGTATGCTTTCTCCCTTCCTAATCACAATATCAGATCCACCCTACTGTAAAAGGAACTTTGAAAGTAAAAATTTTGAAATCGCAGAATTGTTCGAAGGCAACTTGACTGCACATGTGGAATTACTTTATATGTATTACTTGTGCTAGCGACTGCACTTAATGCAACCCATTTTTGAGCCATTTATTTTCCTTTTCTAAATTTGAATTTTGTTTCTTAACTTCTCCTAATTCTATGAGAGTATTAAAAGGTTCACTAGAATAATCATCTGTTGTAGAACTAGAGCCTTTCAGTTTTTAAACCGTTTCCTCCACATTCCTTCATCATCAAGGTCTTAGTTTTCTTCTTCTAAGCCTCTGATGAGTTGCTTCATTTCTTCCCGGGTTTTTCAAATAGAGTTTTAGATTTCTTCACTAACCCAATGATAACTGAGACTAATAAGATTGAATTTAGGATCTGAAGAATTTCTACATTTATTCTTTGGTTCATTCGTAGGTTCTTCGGACCCACTGTTGGGCTGCCAGTTTATAACCAAAGGGCCATGTAAACTTTACATTTAACCAAGCAAATAAGAAAGAATTATAAGAAAAACACTACATGGAAGAATTACATGTCAAAAGTAATAAAGCTAACATAAAGCAATTACTCTTGGATAAGAGGAAAAGTTATGTCTGTGCAAAAATCTGTCGAATCTCTTTAACTAACGGTTCAGATGTTGGATGTTTCAATTTTTATTGACTGTTGCCATTTAGCGTTAGGTTATACAGTTCCATATCTGAAATGAGCCACGCAGACAGGAGAGTGGTTAGTGAGTCAGACTGCCATACCCAAAGAAAGTATGGATGTGCATTTTGTGTCCCTTCATACGAGGTTAATAGTGGCCATCTATTAGGTGCCTTTATAATAAAATGACCACCGCTTCTGGTCTTGGTAGTTGTCAAAGCCTAAAATGACTAGTGCCCACTATTTAAAAAAAAAAAAAAAAATCTGAAGTGAATATGGCAAGGCACTACAAATAATGATAAGACGTATTCAGAATTTAACTGTTTACAATTAAAGGTAATGAAAAAGTCAAAATGTTAAAAAAAATCTTATGTAAAGCAGTTAACTATTTCTTTCTGTAATAAAGCTATGGAAATTTTCGTGGAACTATTGAAAGTACTTTTAAATCTGGACCATATTCTAAGCTAACATCAAGGAATCACAGTTTCATTCTATGAAAGCTCATACAAGATTAAAAAAAAAAAAAGTAATGTAAAATGTTCATCAAATTCAGAAGAACAGCTTACAATAAAATTTTACCCTGATGTTTTTAAAAGTGTTACTTAAGACGCATGGATACAATGGGTGATCAGCAAGAATGAAATTCTTCGTCAACAAGAAAACATGGAACATATACCTGACGTTAGAAAAACCTCTAGAGAGTAAAGTTTTATAGACTTGATATTACAATGAACTATTACTGAATGAAAAGTTGCCAGTTTGTAAAATAAAGCTCGAAGGCACATGGCATAATGAGCTCCGGATGTAGGAAAACTGCAGAGAAATCAGAGGCAAGGGAAAAAGAAAAAGGAGGATGACCAAAAAGGTCCAAAAGCTAAAGAGAAAATCAGACAAGTCCTCAGATCATGACGAGAGTTGGAAACAATACTTGTAGAGTTATCCAAAGAGTAAAATTCAGGATACAGAATACAAGATACAATATGCAAAATACAACCTACAAGAATATATACAAATGCAAGACGTGTTCCATAAAAATTCAATAAAAATAAACAACAAAATTATAAATGCAGAGAAGAAATAGATACGAATGCAGTATCAACAAGAAGTGAAATCTGATAAGTGATTAAAGTATAGGCAATCGCCACTGAGGAACTCGAATAACAAAATTTTGTTTGTCATCGATGATAGTGTGTGCACCAAGAGGTCTGATGTTTTGATCTTCATCGAGAATCTCCTAATTAAAAACTTGAGAATAGTTAACGAAGTCGCATGAGGTAGCTTTAGTAAAGAGTTTCTCGTTAGTTCGGGCCCATCAGCGGCCGGGCGGAACACCGGTAGTTCGGTCCGAGGTTCGAATCCCGCGAACGGGCTGGCTGCATGGGAGTTTTTGTGGTTTTCCCCATGTGTAACGTGTATACGAGCCAGTTCCTCTTAGAAAGTCCTCCACGAAGGCATCCCTCCCTTTAGGCAGATAGCCGTCGTGTACTTTGCCATAATTGATTAATCCAATCCAATCCAATCTCGTTAGTTCTTTTGATGAATTCAGTAATAGTGTCAACTTTTAAATCCTTGTGCAGAAGCTCATTTCTGACAAGATTATCGGCTTCAGTAATAATTAGTAGGAATTTTTTAACCACTTGAAGCTGGTAAAGTTGGTTCTTCATAGCAGTCATTATACCATGCAGAAGCAGCGTAACACAGTATGGGCCTGATACACGTAGTGTAGATATGTTTCTTAGTGCATAAGCTGAGATTGTAATATTAACGGAGTAATAATAACGGAGAAACCTGCTCATGGTACCAATACTTTGACGCTTTTGATGTGGTTTGACCATGTAAGACTTCGATTCAAAATGAGGCCCAAGTATTTACCTTAATTAATGATGAGAACTATTAAAAATGAAACAAGAGTAGCTCTTTGAAGTTTGTGCATTTCCTAGTGTTGCTGAAGATGAGTAGTTGAGATTTGCTTGCATTGATTTTAACATGCCAGTTGGTACACCAATCTTCCACTGTGTAGACATAGTTCTGCATCTTGGTAATTTCATGGTTGGCTTTGATAGATTTGATGGCTACCACCGTATCATCGGCGTAGCAAGCAAGAAGTGAGTAGCTGTCCAGTCTGGGATGTGGGAATAATGTTTTATCACTTTGGAACGATGTTACATTTGCAGAAATATCAGAGTATAGTTGAATCTGACAGACAAGTCAATATATGGCAAAATCCGAATTTACAATTCGAAAAACATTTTACTTAATGTTGCACACAAGGCCACAGTCATAATGGTTTGGAGATGTTTCTTTACTAATAAGAAATTTAGTGTTTAAAATGTAATATGGGGTAATACAAATATATAAATATTCTTAAGGAAAACCTGAAAGCATCTGCAAGTAAACTCAGAAGCGCCAACAGATCCTTTGCGGAAGAAAACCCTAAACTTGAAATGCAGAATATGTTCAAGTTTTGTCTTGATAATGATACTAAACATGCAGCCCTAAATGTTTGCTTATAATTATGCAACTGTCCTAAAGTGTCATATCTCCACATTTTACGGACTTAAATCCTATTCAGCATGTATGAAGTGAGTTGGAGAAAAGAATGAGGAAACATACTTCTTCAAAATATCTAATAAAAGCTATTCTTGCATACAGTACAATGTTCGTAATCCGGACTCGTCGGGACTTCGGCGATTCCAGATTAGTTTTTCCGGTTTTATAGATCATCAATTTAAATCTGGTAAGATGGCATGCAGAAATTATACAATTAAAAATATGAAACCGTAATTTATGAAATAAAGAACAATTATTATCCAAAGGGTATTAAAATTTACAAAAAAAAAAAAAGCATAATATTTATTTGTTTACTTTATTAAATATTTCTTTCAATGTAAGTTGTTTAAGTTGCTTCATTTTTTTGTGATAATACTTTCTCTTTAGTTCTCTCTTCTATAAACAGTCTCTCTCTATAAACAATCTCTCTTCTCTTTACGCGCATGCGTAGTAGCGGACAAGCGCATTAAACGCGAATGCTTAAACGTATTGTGCACATGCGTAACCACATAATGCGTTTATGCATGTGCATAAAGTTTGTAGCTTTGAGGTCCGGATTATAGATCATGCCGGATTAGAGACGTCCGGATTAAAGACTTTGTACTGTATTATAATAGTGGAACATTCTTATGGGAAAAAATTAGTTGATTCCATACCAAAAGTGCATGAAAAGTGTATTGTAGCTCAATGATATCCATTGAATTATTGAATGCCCTATTATTATATTGTTTTTATTAAATGTAAATTATTTTTTCAAAATGTCCAAATACTTAACCAAGTTCATTTTCAGAATGTTTTTAGTAACTTTTTTAAAAACAAGCAGATTTTAAAATACAAAATCAATAATATATGCGAAAGAAAAATAAAGTCATTTTGCTAATATTTAGTAGCTGATATTTGCAAATAAAACAAACACACAAGGGTTCCAAAACCAATGTGGGTATATATTTTTGTTTCTTATAAAATGAATCATGTATTTGTATTATAAAAAATTCAAATATTAATGCAATGTGGGAATTTTTTTTAACATTAAAATTTTCAGATCATGATGAATTTTAATATTTGACATTTTTTCTAGGTTTGTCTCGATATCATTAGTATTCATTAATAAGCACCTTTTGAGTAGTGATAGTTTTAAGGTAAGTATATATGGTTTTATATTTTGCTTTTAATAACTTCTAAAATCATTTTAAACATTTAAGCATCTTTAATGAGGTTTTTGTGTCAAGTGCTATATCAAACTTCCGTGATTTGCCCTCAGGGCTGTGAAGTCAGAATCGGAGTTTGGCAGATTTTGGGGTAAAAGGAGTTGGAGCTGAAGTCGCTAAAAACAGGTTGACTCCGACTCCAGTTCTTGTTGGACTGTTTGAATTTGGAATGAAATTAAAAGGAATAGAAAAAAAAAATAATGACAAGTTGAATTATTAATTTTATTTATGGACTATATACATTAATAAATAGTTATTCTCTATTTTATTGACATATTAATAAATAAATATAAGGGAGGTGGATGGATGTGATATTTGCCATAGTGATTAACTGATTTTTTTGGTTCCAATTCATGCTAATTAGGTAAGCAGCAAACTACCAAAAATTGATGCCATTCTTGAGCGAACAGGAAAAGGAACAATATGATCAAAACACCATACGGAATGCAATTTGATGATTAAGAGGTGTTAGAAATAAGAACTTTTTTAGAAGATTTAGACCTAATGTTTCAATAACAGAAAAAAGTGGAATGATCTTGCCGAATTGAAAGTTCTTCTACACGTATAGCCACAAAAAGTTCAATCTGAATGCAGGAGGTGAGAATGAGATGTGATGTTTGTTCTGAAATTGAGGGTTTATTGCAGAAGGAATCATTTCTTCATGAAGAAAAGAGAAATAGTTTGCTAGACAATAGATCTCGCGGGGGTTCATATATGTAGATCCGAAAACTGAATTTCTTGATGACGACAAAGAAAAAGAGCAAAGAAGCCATATATGAACTTTCATTAAGAATGAATTATGCTCAGACGTTACAGAATGAATCGGAAGAGTCCTGCAGCCATCTTGTCTCCCCCCTTTTCAGACATGCATTTATTTTCAACATATTTATGATAATCTTGCAAAGGCTATAGAAAAGGCAAATGAACATAAAGAACCAAGAGCATTAAATAAAAATAAAAAAAAACAACAAGATTTCTACACAAGCATTTAACAAAATAAGAAATAACAACAACAGAAAATGCCTTGAGAAATACAATATCTGATGTTTTGCAATACACCCTTTTAGCTGGGGAGGATTGATATAGCATCACTACCAAACTCTCTGAAAACTCGATTTAGTATTTACAATTTTGGAAGTAAAACGCATTTCAAAAAAACTTTGTACTCCAAAATCCTCATCTGATTCCTTCCATCTACTTCTCTTTCCCGGTGATTCCCATTTGGCCGCTGGGTCTACCCCCTCCTCTTCCCTCCCCTCGCGGTCTTCATACGTTGGTATCCCTCTAGGGTTTCCCCGCCTCATATTCCTATTCTCTTTCACCTCGTGGCTGCAACTTTTGTCTTACATTAGAATGAAAAGAAAAAAAAAGTTTCAAAAATTTGGACACATCTCATCCACTACGTTCACGTCTCATCTCAGCGACCATACCCGATACTCTTCATAATTTATTAATTACCGTCCCACATAATCCGCCATCCGATAGTCATGCCCTCAGATGACAAGAGCAAACAGTGAAATTTAACATATAAAATAAAGTAAAAAGGTAAAATACTAATACTGTTAAACTATAAATGCAAATACTAAATACAGATAAATGGAAATACTAAATTAAAGAGATAAATGAAAATATTCTATCTGGATCTTCTAATAACAGCACCTAGAAAAATAATAATTAGGAATCATAAAGAAAAGATGGATAGGATTTAAAGTCCAAAGATTTAGATCAGTTCATATGAGTAACTGTTCATAAAACACTAAAGTTCAGGTAATATGTTCTGATGAAGTCCAAGATTTCATAAATTCGGCGCAAGTACTTGTTTTCATAGGTCCATCGAAGAAACCACATTTTTCCACATCATAAGTGTCATTTGGCTTGATTTTCACGATTTTATAGGGTCCGAGAAACTTGGGTTTCAGTTTAAGACCAGGTCCATATTGTGGACGCTTGATTGCCACTAAATCATGGAGTTGGAACTTCCGGGATGGTTTAAGTCGCAGATTGTAAGTTTTACGATTTTCAGCCTGCACTTTCAAAATCTGTTGTTTAGCTTCGTTGCAAAGATCATCGCGAGCATTGACGAAATCTGACTGGATCTCTGCATTTAACAGCTCTGTAATTTTATCATGATTAGCAGATTGCATTTTAGTTCCAAGCATGAGTTCGAATGGGGTTCTATTGATACTCTGTTGGTATGTTGAGTTGATCATTTCTGAACTTCACTGACATGTGTATACCATTTTGACGGATTTTGAATCGATAATTTGGAAAGAACAGAAATTGTGACAGAATTCAATCTTTCAATTTGTCCATTGGCATGAGGAAGTCCTGTAGTAATTAGAATGTGTTGTATATTGTTGATTGAACAATAATCTTGGAATTCTTTTGAAGTAAATGCTGATCCTTTATAGGAAATTATACGCGAAGGATTTCCAAAGACAAATTTTTGATTTTCCAATTTAGATATTACTTCGGCGTATCAGTAGATTTTGTCGGGAAAGCCATACAAACTTTGTGAAAGAGTCAATAACGCAATATATACTGTAATTTTTGAGTATCGGAGTGGTCCTAAATGATCAATGTGATATGTGTGAAGTGGTACATCTTGTTTAGGTATGGAATGCAACATACCTTCTTGTTTACCACATTTACGATTAATTAGTATGCAAGGAACACAATTAGCAATATAGTTGTCAATTTTATCTTTAAGTTTAGGAATATAAAATTCTTGTTTGATGAGTTCTTCTGTTCATTTAGAAGCGAAATGTCCATGAAGATGTGCATCCTTAATTATGTCACACTGCATTGATTCTGGAATAACAAGTAATTCCTTCCCGTCTAGAAATTTATAAAGTATATCAGCTTTAACACAATAGTCATCATAAGGTTTAACTTTTAAGACTTCTTTGATTGCTCGGATGTGATCATCTTGCTCTTGAGCGTTTCGTATTTTCAAAATGCGGCTATCCTGAGTGATGACCATAACAGAGGATCTGCTTAATGCATCAACATGTGTCATTTGTGTTCCAGTTCTGTGTTCTATTTTGTAGTCGAAATCTAACATCAATGCCCAACGTGCTATTCGTGTATTTAAGTCTTTCTTGTTCATCGTCATTTTGAACGCATTACAGTCAGTAATAATTTTGAAGTGTTTTCCTAAAAGATAAACTCTAAATTTTTTCAAACCTTGAATTACAGCCAATACCTCAAGTTCGTAACTGGTGAATTTCTTTTGCGCGTCAGATGTCTTTTTGCTCATGTAATAAACAGGATGTAGGCAATTATCCATCATAGACGTTTGCATGAGTATACAACCATAACCATGGATACTGCAATCAGTGTGTATTCCTGTATCACTGTGCTGATTATAGATCTTGAGTACGGGTTTTTTACATAAACGTTGTTTCAAAAGATTGAAAGCTTTTCTTTTATTGTCACCAATGAAAATATCCTTAAAAACGGTAAAGTCGTTACCGTTTTTAAGGAGATCAGTTAATGGTTGAGCAATTATGGAGGAATTGAGAATAAATTTGCGGAAATATCTGGCAAGACCAAGGAAACTTTTATAGATTCAGGATAATTAATATCAGTGGTTGTTTTAAGAGGAGATGAGAACAGTTGATCATTTTCGATGACATGACCAAGAAATTCAATTCTATGACTTAAAAATTTAGATTTGTTAAAATTAATTTTGAGTCCATAAGCAGATGCAACTGAGAAAATGAATTTCAAACGCTGAATCCCTTCATATTCATCTTTAGCAGGAATTAGGATATCATCTAGACACAGTAAAACATGACCTTGCAAGATTAAATCCTTGAAAATGGAATTTACAAATCTTTGAAATACAGAAGGAGAAGTACAGAGACCGAAAGGTACACGTAGAAACTGATATTGTCCATTATGTGTGACAAATGAAGTGTAATGCCGTCTGTTTTAGTCGACGCTTATATGGAAGAAAGCATTTTTTAAATCGATTGTAGTGAATGTATGAGCATTTTGTAGTTTATCCAATAAGTCTTCTATTAAGGGTAAGGGATACCGATCTTTAACTATTTTCTTGTTTAATTTCCAATAGTTAATACAAACTCTAGGGTTGCCTTTTTTTTTTTTTTTTTTTTTTTGCGACTACAACTTGAATAGAATATTCAGAAGAACAAGGTTCAATTATGCCGTCGGCTAACCAAGTTTGAATTTGCTTGTCTACAATGTTTCTTTTCACAAAAGGTAATCGTCAAGGTCTGTGAAAAATAGGTCTTTTCTCTTTTACTTGAATAGTCATCTTAATGTCCGTAGTTTTGGTTTTAAGAGGTCTGCAATCGGAGATAAGATTTTCAATAATTCTAACTTGTTTTTTTTTTGTAGCAGTAGGACCTATTTCTAGTTCAAATTTTTGATTAAGGGAAATAGTATTGATGTACACATCTTTCAGGTCATTTTGTTTAACAACATGTTTAGAAATATCAACACCATCTTTGTTTAAGTTATGTTGTTTATTTGTACGGCAAATCTTTGGAATATGGTACAGTCAAAAGTCGTTAATTCGGACACCCATAATCCGGACCTCAAAGCTACAAACTTTCTGTACATGCGTCGCGTTGAAGCATGTGCATAAGACCTTTACGGCTGTGAATATGCGGTGCGCATGCCATAATACGTTTACGCATGCGCGTTTAAGTATAATGGACGGTATAAGCTAACTAAAAATTATCTAATTCAGTTAATTGCAGATTCATTGTTCTTAATTCGAATTGGATCCGGCTTATTATTTTTTGCAGACTGTTAAGCAATTTTATAAAGTAAGTTAAATTTCGATTATGTCAAATAGAATTTCCGATATATATTTACTAATATGTAAAGGATCTACAAAGCGAAAGTATTTTTGAAGTCAATTAAACAAAAGTGGAATTGCTGCAAAAATGGATAAAGGC